CCCCGCCCTCGGGGCGGGGGCGCCTTACCGGGGGACTGGATTTCTTGCCCTGGTCCTCTGGGGTCAGCTTAGGGCACAGAACTCCTGTAAAAAGCGTTACCTGGACCCCGCCGCTACCCAGGGAGTGACTCTGCGTGCCGGGTTCTCTCGCTGCCCGCACATTGGCTCTTTTTTCGTTCAATGTCCCCGGCAGGAAGCCGGGTTGGGCCTCTAAAACAGGAGTCTTCTTGTGGGGGTGTCCCCCTGATGGTCATCCTTGTCCAGAAGGTGTCTGCCGGCGGCCAGCGACGCCCCTGGCCTCTGGGCCAGCCCCTTACTTTCCACCCTTGCGGCGCGCAGCTCTGGCCCGAGGGGGCGCCAGGATCCGCCTAAAGGCGCGCAGGTCCGCCGGCTCCCTCCCAGCTCTGGCCTCAGCAAGGTTCGGAATGGTGCGCTGCTGCCCTCACCAAGCCCAGAAGCGGCTTCCCTTTCCCGCCCTGGAGAGTCCGCGCGGCGTAGGCGCCAAGAGCACTCCTACACTCAGGAAATAAGGAGAGCGCTCCCAGGGAGCCGCGAGCTGTGGCGGTTGAAGGACGGTCACCTTGGGCTCTGGCGGCGTTCAGTCTAGCGCCAGGGAGCAGCTCCCTTTGGAGCAAATTCTGTCATTCAAGGACAGGATCACAGACTCCGCGCGTGTGCCACCCACCTGCAGGGACATTTTCCATTCTTCCCGCTGATCCAAGCAGGCTTTCAACAGAACCCTATCCCCCACCCCACCCGCAACACACAGACGTACACACTTTTCCAGGGTGATCAGGAGAAAGACACTTACCTATAGAAAACGGGGGGGGAGGGCCTTCTGGCCTCAGAAACCCCAAATAATCCAACTATTTTATCACCCCTTCCTGCCCACGCTACCTCTTTTCCACCCTTTTCCTCTTCCCTCTCCTTAATCCCAACCTCCTCCCCTCTGACCCTCTGACCCTGCTGGCCTAATTAGAGTCAGCCAACCTGGCTTCTCTCCCTCCCATAATCTGAGCAAGGTGTGAACCTTCTCCAAAGCTCAGTCTTCTTATCTGTAAAATGGGTCGGGATGACCGTTGCCTAACTCAGTTGGAAGATTGTTGAAGGTTCAAGCTTTATGTTTCCAGGGGCTGGGGTTGTGGCTCAGTGTAGAGAGCACTTGTCTAGCATGTGGGAGGCCCTGGGTTCCATCCTTGGCACTACATATAAATAAATAAAAAGTTCCACTGACAACTAAAAAAAAAAATATTTAAAAAATAGGAAAAAACTGGGCTGGGGTTGTGGCTCAGTGGTAGAGCACTGGCCTAGCATGCCTGAGGCACTAGGTTCGATCCTCAGCACCACATCAATGTCCAATAAAGATATTGTGTGCCCCTAAAACTAAAAAATCAACATGAAAAAGAAAAGGAAAAAAAATCTATGTTTCCAAAAGAAATTGTCTCCATGGTGCCCTCTTCACCTGTCACCTCATGGCCCCTCCTCTGGCCATGCTAACCTGGCTCTGGGCCTGCAGCCCTATGACCTCTGTTGAAGGCCTGGTTGCTGGCTCTGTCCCACGCCGCCCTTCATCCTAAGGGACACCAGCCTCTCCTGCTTCCTCCTGCCTCACAGGCAACCCTTCTCAGGCTTCAGATCCACATGTGCCGACAAGTTTCTTTCCCTCTGGCTCCAGCAGAAGGGAGAGAGAAGAGCAAGCCCGGGATTTGAATTCCATGTCCTCTCCCTCCAAGCCCCTTTGGGGACATCCCAGTAGCAGCTCCACATGGCTCTCTTTGGGGGCCAAGAGGGTACACAATCTACTGGGCCTCCAGGGGTGACCTTTGTAAATGGTTGCTTCCTTCAGTTCTCCTGGGTTACTGTTTTTGAATACATGATCTCTTCCTGCTATGACGCAGACCCTGAAAAATTCCAATCTCATGCTTTAAGCACCATCTCTGTGCAGGTGGTTCCCAAATTTATGTCCCCATCCCTGGGTTTCCCCTGGGCTTTGGACACACATCCAACAACGTCCGTCTGATGGATTTCCCCAAACACTTCCAAGGCTGAATTCTAGATCCCCGACCCTGCTCCGCCCCACCAAGAGTCACAACTGCACCTGTTCATGCCACACTCCAGGAGGCAGCCCCGATTTCCCTCTTCCCCCCTCCAATCTGAGCAAACCCCTGTGGCTCTGCCTCCAGTCATATTCTGAATTCATCCACTTCTCTCACCCTTGTCCCAGCCGTCACCTCTCCCTCCCAGTGCTCCCACCAAACAGACTAAAAACCCAGTTTCCCTCCCGTGGGCCAGCAAGCTCTGCCCTCTTCTCAGATCTCATCTTGTGCCGACCCTTGGGTGACGTCATCCCAGCCCTCATGCCTCCCTCCAACCTCTCCATTGGAATTCCCACCGCAGAGTCTGGGCATTCTTTCCCTCATTCTTTCCCATGACTGACGCCTGTTATGCAGCTCAAATGTCACCTCTTCAGAGAAGCGATCCCTGATTGCCCAACCTGCAACAGCAGTCCCTCTTTAACCCCATCCCCATTTTTCCTCAAGAACCCACCCTTGAGGCCAGGCTGTAACTCAGCATAAGGCCTTTGAGTTCATCCCCAGCACCAGGAGAACCAAGACCAAACAAGACAACAACCCAACACCTCCTCCTCCTCCCCCTCAACGGCAGGTATCACCCGTCATCTTTATTTCTTTGTGTATCTGTGAGTTTTCTGTCTCCCCCCCACACCAGGAAGTGAGCAGCATTACAGAATTTTCTGTCTGTTCTACTCACCTCCATACCCAACTCTTCCACACCTGGAATGTTGTCTGGTGCATGAGTTGTTTAAAAAATCAGTATTTAGCCGGGCACTGTGGCGCACGCCTGTCAGCCCAGCCGCTTGGGAGGCTGAGGCAGGAGGATTTCGAGTTTGAAGCCAGCCTCAGCAAAAGTGAGGTGCTAACTCAGCGAGACCCTGTCTCTAAATAAAATACAAAATAGGGCTGGGGATGTGGCTCAGTGGGCGAGTGCCCCTGGGTTCAATATCTGGTTACCCCCCACCAAAGAAAAGGCCACAGAGTGTAGGACTCCATTCACACAAAATGTCCCGAACAGGCCAATCCATACAGATGAAGACAATGGGTGGTTGTCAAGGCTGGAGGGAGGGGAGATGAGGTTTCCTTTGGGGATGATGAGAAGGTTCTGGAATCAGGTAGAAGCCAGGGTTGCATACCGTCATGAATGTGCTAACGGCCCCTAATGCTAGGTGTTGTCATGTATGATTGACCATGACTAAAAAATAATTCAGCCACTTGGGGTGGTGAGCAACCTGTAATCTCAGCTACTTGGGAGACTCAGGCGAAGGCAAACAGGGAGACCCTGTCTCAACAAACAAACAAAAATAATTAATGAAGTCAGCCCCACCGAGGGGCACGTGCCTGTTGACCTGGCTACTTGGGAGGCTGAGGCAGGAAAATCACCTTAAGCCCAGGAGTTCCAGAGCTTTGTACTAGAATGTGGGACACAGGAGACCTCAGCCCTCACCCAGCCCCCCTCTTTCCCACCCCCAACTCTCCAGAAGCAGGGAGCCGGGTGCGTGCTCTAGGGACACTTCATCTCGTGCCCAAGCTCTTCCACACCCCCCTGCCCACAGCTGACCCTGGGCCCCCTAAGTGGGGTCCAGGAGGGGAAGATCAAGATTTAGAAAGCACATTTTTTTGCTCTGTGCTCCCTGGGACGAGTCCCTAGTGGAATGTCCTCTGATGTGTGGGGCCCACATCAGGCAAGAGCTTCTTATCAGGGATAAGGTCAGAATCCTCAAGTCTGACCAGGGCTGGGATGGGGGAAGCACTGAGGGCCGCAGGAGAGCAGAGGGGCCCCTGCCCCATCCTGGAAATTACTTCCACAGGAGCAGGGCTACACGAAATGGGCAGTCAGCTGAGAGAGAGGGTGCTGGCCCTTTAAGAATGCAATGGTATAAAACAGGGGACCCTCAAGGGTAGGAAGTTCTCTAAACCTTGCTTGTCACCACTCGCCCCTGTGACTCTACCTAAGGAGTATCTGGGGTTCTGGAGGCCACCTGGACTGAATCTCCCATATCACAGATGGGTAAACCGAGGCCTAGAAACCCGAGGCGAGATGTCCACAGTTACCCAGGCTTGCTCCAGCCTCCTGGGTCCCCTGGTGCTGAGCCTCTGGCCTCCAGAATTCCCTGGCTGGAGCAGAGGTCCCTTCCCCCCCTCCCGCCGTGGAGCCAGGTCTTGAAGGGAGTCTGGCGGCTTCTTAGTGTGCATGCCATGAATGACATTCACGTGCCCTGACAGAGGACCAAAGGACCGGGAATGCCCTGGAGGGTGGAGGTCAGCAACTGCCATCGCCCACCTGCTTGACCGCACATGTGAGAGCATTTGCCGGAGGCAGCCCGGTGCAGCAAGAAGGCCAGCGGCTGGTAAATAATTTATCCAGATAGCTGATAGTGCCTCCCAGAACTGCCGCCAGCCCCCAGCCCCCCTCCGTGCACCTCCAGCCTCAGCCCAAACCAGCTGGACCAGCTCTCCGGGTGCCGCCCTGCAGCCCCCCTCCCACCAGCCCAGTCCCGGCCTCCAGGGCACCTTCAGGCAAGCGGGTAGTGGGTCTCGAACTCAGAGACTGGGAAGTGGGCTTCTGGGCAAGATGGCCCTGCAGAGCCAGGCCTGGTCTCCGGCCACACCCATGTAAGTGTCTGGGGTCACCGGGGCTGGAGGGCCGAGGTCGGGGTTGAAAGGGGCTTGGGGGGGATGCTGGCCTTGCCTGGGAGCCCAGAGCCCCATCTGGACTTTCCCAAGGAAACCCGAGAGAGTGGACAGGGCAGGGGCCAGCCGCGTGGGCTCCTCAGTGGCTCCTGCCCCGGAGACTATGGTGGGGGATGTGGACTCCCAGGACACTTCTTCTTCAGGGATTTTCTGCTGGCAGACCGAGAGCCCAAAGTCCAGCCTGGGGGTGGGGCTACTGCCGGGTTCGGGGGGGCGGGGAATGCTGGGGTCCCCTGCTTCCACACTTGGCCCCTGGAATCACCCCCCATCGAATGGCCGGAGTGCCTGAGATCCGACAGGAGAAATGAAGGGCTCCCCAGCTCGGAGAGACAATGACAGAATCGAAAAGATGACCTGTTTCATGAAATGGCCACCAACTAACTACTGCTGGTGGCAATAGGCAGGCTAGGGACACCACGGTGATCTCATCTCATAGTTAGAGATAAACAGTACCAAAGGGTGTGGGGGGAGTGTTTTAATATGTGAGATGGGAAGGCCTTCTAATTTAGGGAGTAGAGGGGTTCTAGGGTTTGTGAAGAGTTCTAGAAAGGGGGCTCCCCCACTGGGGACCCCAATTCGGTTCCTCACTCTTCTGGGTCTTCCACTGCATTATTCACCAACTACAAACCTGGTTGCCTAGCAACGGGAACCCAATCCCCCCCAGCGAGGGAGAGGCGAGGGAGATTACATCTTGGGGAGAGGACGGCAGAGAATGGACTTCAGCCCTCCCCCAGGGACAAACCTATAAGCAGGGAGTCTGGGCTTCCTTAGGGATGCCCCCCAAAACATGACGTCGGTCCCCAGTGGAAATCAGGACCCCAGGCTTACCTCCGGCCTCCTGGGAGCCAAATGGAAGGTTCCTGGACCCCCACGCCCAGGGTCCGGTGTTTGGGGTGTGAGTGCCTCCAGTTCTCCTGACTCCGTGACCTTGAACAAGTGTTTCTGCCACTTCTCAGAGCCTCAGGTTCCCCATCTGTGTCGTATGGGGACAATGGTACTATCACCTCCAGGGAGCACTGGGAGGCTTAAAGAGGGTGCCCAGCGCGTGAGGCATTAAGACAGCGCCTGGCACAGGGACGAGCGCCCTGACGGTCGGCTGCTTCTGTTCGCGGTTGGAATGTCAGCCCGGCTGGTGGACTAGAGCCAGACAATCCTGGTCAGGGCAGGAGAGGCGGGCGGAGGTGGCTGTGGGAGCCCAGCGGAAGCCCCACAAGGCACTTAGGACACTATATATAGCAAGTGCCATTATGCTTTCATGGTGGCCAGTAGAGTCAGGGAAGTCCCAGCTGGAGCTTGGAAGGTGAGGCTCTAATGGTCCCCTAGTAAGGTTAGCATCCAAATTAATAAACCTCTGAGGGTTTCTCTGCACCCAGCCCAGGCTAGTGGGGACAACGTTGGGGACAACGTTGGGGACAACAGACAGCTCGATGTCACTTTCTAGATATGGAAGTGCGGCCAGTGTAGCAAGAGAGTCAGCACTCAGCACACGTCCATGACGATGAAGGGCCAAAGTGACAATGACAGGTTCCTAATGGTGTTGAGCACCGGTCAGCTTCCAGCCTCCAGGGGAAACCAGGGAGGAGGCTGGGAAGCAGGGCGGCAGGTGCGTTGAGCAGGACGGTGATGGAGAGGCTCAGGTTAAACCTTAAACCACAAGTCCCGCTCCTTGAAGCTCAGAGTCCAGTACTAGGGAGCGTGACCCAGGGACCCTTGTCCCAGGAGGGGGTTGGCAGGAGGAGGAGGCAGCTCAGGAGTTACCATGGCAACAGTGGGATGGCCATTTCTCTCCCCAGATTTCCTCACCTCCCAGCAGGTAAGGGATCCTGGATAGGAGGAGAGGTCCACAGAAGTGTGGCAAGGGTGCCTGTTAGGATTTGAGGGTTTCTGGTAGGACAGACTTGGAATAGTTATCATGATTAGTCACCAATAGAATCGCTCATGGGTATTATTAAATGATGATGAATAATAAACAATGTACTATTTTTTGGAGCACTATTCCTTATGCTTTTCCCTGTATGGATACATGAGAAGGGGAGGCGGTTCAGCTATTCACACCCATTTTACAGATCAGGTTACTGAGGCCAAGGGAGGCAATCTAGGACTAGGAGACCCGCCTTGGTCTCTGTCGTGTATCCCCTCACAAGACCCTCCCTTGTCCTCTGCCCTGGCTTCTCCCAGGTGCAAAGGGGAAATAGAGGCAGACTCTGGGCTCTCCTGTCGGCTACGCCAAGTTCTTGGCCAAGAGGGTAGTGTCAGAGGTCTGCTCGCTGAGGAATTGGGGGCCCTGAAAGCCCCATCCGCAGCCCCTGCCCTCTCCCCACAGGCCCATGGCCGAGAGCTCCCTCTATCGGCAGCGGCTGGAGGTCATTGCGGTAAGTGACACCCTCCCAGAGCGCTTGGTCCTGCGCCCTGGGGAACGCCCCCCAACCCCAGGCTTCTTGGTCTCCCCCAACCCCGGGAGCAAGCCTGTCACTGTGAACAGGGGAGCAGAGTCCTAAGCTCCGGCCCTGCCCAGGGCTCTAAGCCCTCAGCCCCCTCCCCTCCCCGGCTCCTTTGTCTAGTCAATGCCACCCCAGGATGGAGGGGCTGTGGACCCGGCACTCTCAGAACCTCCTCCCTGAGTCGGGCTTCCCGGACAACCCCCTCTCTTGCACCCTGACTCGGACCCCATCCTCGGAGCCTCTCCTTATGGACCTCCATCTCTCAGGGTTCTTCCTGCCCCGCTCCTCTGGACCTCCATCACGCTGATCCTATCTGGATCTCTCATCCTTCCACTCCATTTCTCTCTCCTCCCTCTTTGAACCCCATCTCCTAGAGCCCCAACTTTATGTAGCCCCTTCTGCATCCGCACCTCTGTACCATGTCTGACCACCCCTCTGTACCCCCATCCTCTGACCCCACCTTTGCACCCCATCTCTGATCCCCACCTCTGCGCTCCTATAGTTTTGACTCTGCCACCCATCTCCCGATCCTCCCCACCGTACCCACCCCCATCTCTCTGGACCCCACCTCTCCAGCCCAGTGTCTCTGACGGACGCCTCCATTTCGGACCCCCATGTCAGTAGCACCCTCCCTTGGATCCAGTATTTGGACTCCCCTCCCATCCCTATGGACCCGGTAGCCCGACCGCCAGGCTCTCAACCGCCTCGGACGCCCACCCCAAGGCCCCGCCCCCGGGGACCCCATCCACCGACCCCCA